CAGCTGGCTTTTAAAACTCCAGTTTCCAAGTCCTACTGGTTATACAGTCTTGTGGAATTCAGCCCCTCTGGTTTTTAAAGCCAAATATTATGGGGATTACTCTTCCCCATGTGAGATCCCTGGTGTAAAATTCCATTTCTCTGTCCTCTCCACAAATGTCCCTCTCCCTCCCTCCTTCAAGCAGCCTCCCTCTGCCTTTCTGACCTTCCTAACCTTTCAGGTGCACTTTTTCTATATTTAGTTGTGGAGTTTGTTCTACCAGTCTTCAGATCATCTCCAGTTTATTGACTTAGAAGTAGATGATATTTAGTTGAAAACATGGGACAGGGTGAGCTCAGCTTCCTTTTACTCTGCCATCTTTCCTAGCTCCTCTCAAGAGCCATCTTTTAAATGTCTTTTTTTATGCCCTGCTGAACATGCTTGTATTATAGCACTCATAAAATTTAGGGCATTTATTGAATAAACATGTCTCTTATAACACAACGAAAAAAGGTGGAATGTTTTCAGTCAAAATGACCTAGGTTCTTATCCCAGATCTGCCAAATGGCAAGTTCCTTAATCTTTCTAAACCCTCCTCATGTTTAAAATGAGGATAGTATCAATACATACTTTACAGTGTTTCTGTAAGCAGTACATGACAAAATGTTTGTAAATGTATATAAAACTTAGCACAGGGGTGCCTGGGTGGCTCAGACAGTGAAGCATCTGCCTTCAACTCAGGTCATGATCCCAGGGACTTGGGATCGAGCCCCACTTCAGGCTCCCTGCTCGTCAGGGAGTTTGCTTCTCCCTCTGTCCCTCCTCCTTTCTTGTGCTCTCTCTCACACACACACTCTCTCTCTCAAATAAAAAAATAAAATCTTAAAAAAAACTTAGCACATTGACTGTCATTAGTAAGGATTCCATACATAGTACTTCTATTATTGTTAATATTAATAAACAAAACCATTTTTATATTTGTATTCTTTATGTCTAGCAGAGCAGTCTTTTAATATATTTTATTGAATTAATTAGTTAAGGTTCACCAGATAAGATAATGTATAACCTTGCTCAAGCTTTTAAACTTTCCAGAAAATGGAAATATTAGCATTATTACTGCTAAGCATTTAAATTGAATAGTGTTGGCTTAAAGTTTAGAAAATTAGTCATGGGTTCTATTATTTCTCTAAAACTTCAAGAAATAATTTTTGAACTTACTTCTCCAGAGAAAGTAACTAAAACATCCAATTCCACGGGCCTACTATAGTGTTAGTGTGTATTCAGGAGCATCTATAGTTCTTGATCTTTTCTTATTGTCTAATGGAAATAAAGAAGATTATTCGATAGCTTGCTACAAAACACCTGGTCAAAGCAAAAGGATTCAGAATGGAAAAATAAAAAGTCAATTGTCCAACTTCACAAAGAATGTTCTTATATTTTAGAGATAAAGTCTTTCTAAGAGAATAGAGTTTAGGATCAAAGGAGGTTGAGATATTATTAAAAACAGATACTATACTCAACACATACATGCATATCATTAAAAGACACACACAAACATACTTGCATACGCACAAACACCCAGGCTGAGACATGCTGGAATTCTCTAATATTTTTAGTAAGCTTTAAGCAATGTGGCAGGGAAATCTTAGAATATTCCAATGTTTTGGAGAGTTGAACTTACAGGTTGAGTCACTGATAAGTTTTATTTCACTCTCATTACTCTGGCTGTTCCTTAATGATGTCCTGTGAAGTAGCAAACCCTGAGCTGCTATTGTCACAGGAAATAGTGTGGTAGTAAATGGATAAGAGCCACTCTCAAAGAATTGCTCATTCAGATAAGCCTAGACCAGGAATAGACAATTTAACATCCAAAAAGTTCAAAATCACATTGGTTACTCCTAAATAGTAATACGTGAATGTTTTAATTTTGCGGATTAAAGAGAACGTCATCCTTAAGGATAAAAGACTGAAATTTTCCTCAGCCACAGCTGGATTTTTGATATTGATTCATGTTCCCATATTAGATTGCACAGCCCTTAAGAATATGGATGGAATTCCCAAGTGAAGGGATAACTTATTGTGGATTAGATAGACTAAGGATTATGAATATACTTAGTACATTTGATAAGGGGAGAGATTCAGTTATTTTTTTTAAAGATTTTACTTATTTATTTGACAGAGAGAGAGTGCAAGAGAGCATGAGCAGGGAAGCTGCAGAGGGAGAGGGAGGGGGAGAAGAAGAGAGCCTGATGCAGGGTGATCCCAGGACTCTGGGATCATGACCTGAGCTGAAGGCAGACGCTTAACCAACTGAGCCACCCAAGCGCCCCAATTCCATAATGTTTTTGAGTACTAGCTGTAGGGTCAGAAAGACATGAATTTGAATCCTGGTTATGCCGCTTCCTAGCTGTGTGACTTCAATTTTTTTTCTATAAACTGAACATAATAAGATTATGCATAATAAGCATAATCTGAACAAAACCTTACCCCATAAAGTTTTTATAATTACTTAATGTGAAAATGACTATTATTATCATTATCATTATCATTCTATGTAGATCAGATCTATATCTAATAATTAGGTAATATGTTACAATACTGTATGGCTTTAGCTAATTAGTAAAGCCTTGAATGATGTTTCGAAAGATACCTAGCATAATAAAACAAATGTAGTGAATGTTGACAATTGATAACTCTGGGTGATAAGTATATGGGAGTTCTTTGTACTATTCTTGCAAGTTTTCTGTAAGTTTGTCATTTAATCAAAAATTTTTTAAAAAGTAACAAAGGTATTTAAACATGTGATGTCTTTGAATTCCCATAGTGCGTTTGCCATTAAGCAACAACTCAAGAACCATGGTGACCTGAAAAGTTTGTGACTCATCTGGTTATGAATACAGCTGAGTATAGTGCCTCTATTTAGTTTAATGCTTATCAATACATTTGCATTATTGTATGATTTCTCTAATACTGTGTATATTGGAGGGGGTATCCAAACATTAACAACGTCATAATTCTAAGCCAATTTGCATTAATACTCAGGGTAGGATGATGACCTTAGCTGGTGGGGGGAGGGCTTCTGTGATAAGTGGCCTTTCTGAAGTCTGGGGCCGTTTTCTGCCCTGAAAAACTCTCTCGTTGATTACCCCACCTTGCCCCAGCTCTAGTTCAACCAAAGGTTCCTAATGAAAAGACTGATCATTACAGTAGCCTTTTCACAGCCTCACTGCCAGGGAGAGGAACAGTGAAGCTTTTCAAATAAATTATCTTCTCACCTGGAACACTCTACCTAAGAAAGTTTTATAATCTATTGTAGAGTTTCAAGAGTTAATCTAAAGTAACCATAAAAATGCCTTTGCATTGCAAAGAAAACCTTGGGTAAACTTTTCATGTGCTTCCAAATTTTCTTTTCTCAATAAACCAGGTAAGGGATGTAAAGATTCACAAACATATCAAGACAAACTATGTTGGTTTGATTTCACTCTTGGTTTTAAAATGGGATCATCTTTGGCCATGAAGGCCAGATTCCAGACATGAAGCCCTTTGGAATATCTTCAGGAAGGCAATGTTGTGTACTTGGTTACAAGAAAAAGAATTGACTGTTACTTGTGTCAGTGTCAGTTTCTGTGAACAAGTCACTTAGTTGGTTGAATAATTTCCATTTTGGAGAGATAAACAGACTTGTCTTTTGCTCATTAGGAAATAGATTGTAAGGACAAAGGCTATAAAAATGTTTGGGTATTTACTTTCAGAAATACATAATGCAATTTAAAAAAATACATCAGTGGGGAGTCCATTCAAAGGAAGTTGATAGAAAATGTATCTAATGATATCCCCACATGGGTGCAGTTTCTTGATGAGGAAATTTCTTGGATTTCTATCAGGAGCTTCACAATTTTGATTATTATATTTTTCTTGTTCATTGGAGGTAGAGAGAAATTCCATAGATTATATATTTGGGAAAGGAACTAGATACCTTTGATAAATCCTCGAGTTTCTCTGGTTACATACACTTAGCATAAATTAAGTCTTACTAAATAAACTAAACCTTTATCAAATTAACATTTTAAAAGCACAAGGTAGATGAGATTTCTTTCTAAGGTAAGGTCATCGTGTTATATTAACAAAAGGGAGTATGACCTGAAGTTTAGTTTTGAGCCTCTTGGTTCTGAACACTTTGCTTTTACATCTTATGGGGGTGGGGAAATGGCACCTCAATCCCATAGTGTTCTCAGTGAACATAATGCACATTCTATTTTAATAGCTTTTTATAGCCTCCATTTTTTATTAATGCACCCTGAATATGCTATGCTTTTTATTGTGAATAACCAATAAAAGATGGCTATAAAAATAGTCATAACACTATACTATTTTCTTCCATAGTTTTATCTCCCACTGTAAACTTAGATGCCACACAGAAATGCAATTAAAGTAAAATGAACTCACAAAGAAAACATTTAAGGCTATGACAACAGCTCATTCAGGTCTGCATGGCTTCTTTCACTGGACATATTAATGATAACACAATATTTGCTTGGCTTATTTCTCTTATTTCATACAGAAGTTGAAGACAGGCATTTCATAGGCATCTTAACTCCTGGGAGCCTGGTGAATATTAGTTACTTGTGGTGAGACAAAAAGGTTATTCTGAGATAAAAATGTTTCTTAAATGTAATGTAATCCCTTCGGATGCAGGAGGACTTTATACTTCAAATGGTTACTGTCCAATAATCTACACTACCACTTAAATATGTTATCAGCAAATACTAATTAATCACCCATTATGTGATAGGTTCTGTTCATGGCACAAAGCAGTATAAAACACACCTCTGGTCCTCAGGCAATGTATAATCTGAGGGAAAATAGAATATAACTTAGTAAACAATGAATTAATATACATAGGCAGTAATTATTTAAGACTCACAGAAGAGAAAGAATCTTGCTAAGATTATTTTCTAAGGAAGATCTCACTATAAAAGTGGGATTTGCGGGGGCCTGTGCAGCGGCACGGTGGGATCTATATGGCTACCGAGGGGGATGTGGAGCTGGAGTTGGAGACTGAGAACAGCGGCCCAGAGCGGCCTCCCGAGAAGCCACGGAAGCATGACAGCAGTGCGGCAGACCTGGAGAGAGTCACCAACTACACGGAGGAGAAGGAGATCCAGAGTTCCAATCTGGAGACGGCCATGTCCATGATTGGAGACAGTCGGTCCCTGGAGCAGAAAGACAAACAGGAGCGGGAGAAGGAACTGGCCAAAGTCAGCATTAAGAAGGAAGATCTGGAGCTGATAATGACAGAGATGGAGATCTCAAGAGCAGCAGCAAAACAGAGCTTGAGGGAACACATGGGCAACATGTTAGAGGCTCTTATTGCCCTAACCAACTTATTTGTGCTTTCTCAGACCCACTCATAGATTATTTTATTTCAATAAAGATTAGCCTTTTTTTTTTGCAGTTAAAAAAAGTGGTATTTGGGCAAAATCTAGGTCAATTCATATGGGTCAGCTAGATGGAGGGTAATAATGTGACCTTGTAATTTCCAAAAGTACAAGGACAGGACTGTGCAAAGAGGACCCAAAGTAAAATCTTTTATTCTCCTTTATTTTTAATGTTTTTAATTTAATTTTTTTCAGGAATAGTGACATATGCACTATGAAACGAAAGAGAAGTCTGGAAAAGAAAGGTCAAACTAGATTTTAGAGATTTTTGAATGCAAGGCTGAGAAACTTCAGTTTAATCTTATAGCTGTTATAAATCCATGGAAGGCATTTAATCAGAAGTGTAATATGATTTAAGAGAAGCACATAGTGATGTGTGGTATCATGGGGAAGGAAAAAACTTAAAGCAGGGATGATAGCAAGTGTTGTACTATCATCCTTAGAGCAAGAAAAAGGGTACCCAGACCAGAGTTCAGCATTATAGAGGGAAAGTGTAATTAGAAACCCAGAGGATAGATATATTGAAGAATACGGGGGTGTTTCTGGCACTTGTGTTTCAGTACGGAGTGCTGAGCATCTCCTTCCATGACTAACACCTTTGAGTTCCAAGGAAATAATTTGCCAATTTTCTTGCCCTATTCCTTGAAAAAAAAATGAGGATGACATCTGGGAAGGTTATTTGACTATGCTTCTACCTTTATCAGAGATCTGAGCTGCAAAACTAGTTAGGTAACAGCAAAGACTTAATCCTTTCTCTCAGGTGCTATAAATGACTAGTTTCTTACCCAGTGAGAAATTATTTCCCAGTAGTGCCTACAGTATGCTTTCTTGGTTCTTTTCATGATGCTAAAGGAATTAATGAATTAGCATGAAATTCACAAGAGTTGCACATTACAGCTGAAGAACATTTTGCAATATTAAACAATGCATATTCTTCAAAGTGTATACAGGCAGGTCCAGACATAGCATGCAAAAAGCATTGATATCAATTCTTTATTTTGGCAAGTAGTAGACAGTGAATGGTAGAATTATTAAATAGCTTTATTTATGTAAACTATTTGATATATTTAATTAAATTTTCCAAAAGAAATAAAAATTATAGCTTATTTAATTTTGAATTAATAATATACTAATTAAAATAAGCAATTTAATAGATAAATCAGAATAACTGAACAAATATTAAAAATAATTTTATTTGTTGTCTTACTTTTCATTTTTGCTTGTGAAAATCAAATTCTATATACTTTTTAAAAAATTTTATTTTATTTTATTATGTTATGTTAGTCACCATAGAGTACACCATTAGTTTTTGATGTAGTGTTCCATGATTCATTGTTTGCATATAACACCCAGTGCTCCATGCAATACATGCCCTCCTTAATACCATCACTGGGTTCACCCATCTCCCTACACCCCTCCCCTCTAGAACCCTCAGTTTGTTTCTCAGAGTCCATAGACTCTATGGTACGTCTCCCCCCCTGTTGTCCCCCCCTCTTCATTTTTCCCTTCCTTCTCCTAATGTCCTCCATGCTATTCCTTATGTTCCACAAATAAGTGAATTGGCTTTCTCTGCTTGACTTACTTCACTTAGCATAATCTCCTCCAGTCCCATCCATGTTGATGTAAAAGTTGAGTATTCATTCTTTCTGATGGCTGAATAATATTCCATTGTATATATGGACCACATCTTCTTTATTCATTCATCTGTTGAAGGGCATCTCGGCTCTTTCCACAGTATGGCTATTGTGGACATTGTTGCTATGAACACTGGGGTGCATATGGCCCTTCTTTCCACTACATCTGTGCCGTTGGGGTAAATACCCAGTAGTGCAATTGCTGGTTCTTGGGTAGCTCTATTTTTAATTTTTTGAGGCACTCCCACACTGTTTTCCAAAGTCGCTGTACCAACTTGCATTCCCAACAACAGCGTAAGAGGGTTCCCCTTTCTCCACAGCCTCTCCAACATTTGTTGTTTCTTGCCTTGTCAATTTTTGCCATTCTAACTGGTGTAAGGTGTTATCTCAATGTGGTTTTGATTTGAATTTCCCTGATGGCTAATGATGATGAACATTTTTTTCATGTGTCTGTTAGCCATTTGTATGTCTTCTTTGGAGAAGTGTCTGTTCATGTCTTCTGCCCATTTCTTGACTTGATTTTTTTGTTTTTTGGGTGTTGAGTTTAAGAAGTTCTTTATAGATCTTGGCTATCAGCCCTTTGTCTGTAGTGTCATTTGCAAAAATCTTCTCCCATTCCGTGGGTTGCCTCTTAGTTTTGTCGACTGTTACCTTTGCTGAGCAGAAGGTTTTATCTTGATGAAGTCCCAAAAGTTCATTTTTGCTTTTGTTTCCCTTGCCTTTGGAGACTTGTCTTGAAAGAAGTTGCTGTGGCTGATGTCAAAGAGGTTACTGCCTATGATCTGCTCTAGAATTTTGATGGATTCCTATCTTACTTTGAGGTCTTTCATCCATTTTGAGTTTATCTTTGTGTCTGATGTAAGAGAATGGTCATGTTTCATTCTTCTGTGTACAGCTGTCCAATTTTTCCACCACCATTTATTGAAGAGACTGTCTTTTTTTCCATTGCATATTTTTTCCCACTTTGTCAAAGATTATTTGACCGTAGAGTTGAGGGTCCATATCTGGGATCTCTATTCTGTTCCATTGATCTCTGTGTCTATTTTTATGCTAGTACCATGTTGTCTTGGTGATCATGGTTTTGTAATATAGCTTGAAATCAGGCAACATGATGCCCCCAGTTTTGTTTCTCTTTTTCAGCATTTCCTTGGCGATTCGGGGTCTTTTCTGATTCCATACAAATTTTAGGATTGTTTGTTCCAGCAATTTGAAAAATGTCATTGGAAATTCTATATACTTTTAATGTGGTTATATTTTATTCATTACCTTTGATTCTTTACTGTCATAGGACTCAACTTACATAAAAATCTTGATTATGAATTCCTTTTTTTAAAAACATATTTTATTTTTAAATAATCTCTACACCAAATGTGGGGCTTGAACTTACAACTCTGAGATCAAGAGTTGAATGCTCTACTAATTGAGCCAGCCAGACACCCCTTGATTATGAATTTTTAATTATTGATTTTGCTGAAATGAAGGGAGGAAAAATTACCTTAAGGAATAAATATTATATACTAATTTATAATTGTTTTAAGGATTTTATTTATTTGTCAGAGAGAGAGAGAGAGAGAGCGTGAGAGAGCACAAGCAGGGGGAGCTGCAGGCAGAGGGAGAAGCAGGCTTCCTGCTGAGCAAGGAGCCCCACGAGGGACTTGATCCCAGAACCCAGAGAGCGTGATAGAGCCCAAGCAGGGGGAGCTGCAGGCAGAGGGAGAAGCAGGCTTCCTGCTGAGCAAGGAGCCCCATGAGGGACTTGATCCCAGAACCCTGAGATCATGACCTGAGCTAAAGGCAGACACTTAACCAAGTGAGCCACCCAGGCATCCCTCAATTTATAATTTTTATACTTTATCTTACTACTTATCTAACATTCCTGGTCCATGAAAAGATCACACAGACATATGCAATAATGATTAAATTCAGCTATCTTTTGTCTTAATTTTTGTCAAAATTAAGCCATATGGAAGTCAGAGTTTTACACATTTTTTTTTGTATTTAGGAAAGTATACTGGTCAATGTAGAAGGACAGAATATATTTTTAAGCTTGATTAATAACTAGTAAATATTTAAATATATGATATGTGGGTCTCCATTCATACTCTTGTTCTAGGTTCCATGTTAAGAGTAAACCCGAGTGGGGACTCTTCTGCAATGAAAATTTCCATGTGTTTGTATGTGTTATGAATGTGTGAGGTTTTTTAAGATATAATTTAGTAAAATAAAGAACATAGATTTTAAATATACAGTTTAATGAGTTTTAACAAATATATACACTTGTGTACCCACTAAAAAAATCAATATATAAAACATATTCATCTCCCAGAAAGTCCCTTTGGGTATCTTTATTGACAATTACTTTACCAACTCCCATCACTATCAGAGACTATCACTGTTCTTGTCTCTATCACTATAGATTAGTTTTACTTCTGGAATTTTATATAAATGGAATCATGAAGAAGTACAGTTTTGTGTCTGGCTACTATCTATCCCTATAGTATTTTTTAGTTTTATCTGTTATTGTGTGCACCACTAATAAGTTTCTTTTTTGTTACTTGAAGTATTCCATTGTATGAATATACCACAATTTGTTTTCCATTCAGTTTGAGTTCTACTAGTTTAGGACTATCATAAATAATGTTGCTATAAACATTTTGCATTTACTGTTTTTGTAGGTGTATGTAAGTTTTTGTTTCTGTTGAGTGAATCCTTTGGAGAGGGTCATAGACATGTTTAACTTTATGAAAAAATGTCAAATTGTTTTTCAAAGTAATTATACAATTTTATAATTCCGTTAAGAGTGAATGGCGGTTCTAAATGCTCCACATCAATGCCAACATTGAGTAGGTTTTTTTCGGGGGGTTATTTAAATTCCAGTTAGTTAACATATAGTGTAGTATCAGTTTCAGGTGTACAATTTATTGATTCAACATTTAGACACAGCACCTGGTGTTCATCACAAGTGCAGTCCTTAATCCCCATCATCTATTTAACCCATCACACCACCCACCTCCTCTCTGGTAACTGTCAGTTTGTTCTCTAAGAGTCTGTTTCCTGGTTTTCCTCTCTTTTTTCCCCCCCAATGATCATTTGTTTTGTGTCTGAAATTCCACATATGGGTGAAATCATATGGTATCTATCTTTCTTTGACTTATTTTGCTCAGCATAATACTCTCTAGCTCCATCCACGTTGTTGCAAATGGAAAGATGTCATTCTTTTTTTTATGGTGAGTAATATTTCATT